ACAATTTAAATTGTCTTAAAGGGAACTTTTTTAGCTGTTAAATATTTTGTAGAATTTTCAGGAGCGCAGAAATTTTGAATTTAGTCGTCTCTCCTGTGCTGTGTGGACATCTTTATGTTCTGTTTGGGTCATATTTTTCAGACTATTCAGTTTTCTCTATTTTCTATTTTCTGAACTATTACATCACAGAATTTGCAACGGAACTGCCATATAAGGTCTGAACTTACCAACTATATTTTCATTGTCTTCATTCTTCTCTGCCTCTGGGTCAGACTCTGGCTCCAACATGTAGGGCTGGAAGGACAAGTCKTCCCTTGTTGACATCTTTGAATTAAAATGTAAATGAGAAAGTTTCTGCACTGCTATAAAATGCTGACCCCCTCTCTCAAGCCRGAGTGGACCGGTCTTAAAGCCACAGCATCAAAACCAGCTGAAAAGAGGAGAAAAAAATGGCTGGTAAAGTTTGGATAAGATGGAATTCCAACCAAAGCATTGTASTTCCACTTTGACTCCAGCTGAATGATTTAAAAGCATGATATGTCCACTWTGGATGATTTAAAAAGCGAATGTGTAGTATGCAGCTATATTACAACCCCTGGCAAAAAGTATGGAATCACCAGTCTTGGATGAACACTCATTCAGACATTTCATTCTGTAAAACAAACTCAGATCAAAATATTTTCCCTGTGCTTGGTCAATAAAAGTAACATTCACTGACTTCCACACTGTTTTCTCTTCATTTCTTTGAGTGTTCCTGAAAGTCAACAAGTTGCACTTTGGAATGACCTTATTACTGTTTCATGAGTTTGATCTGATTTTGTTTTACAGAATGAAATGTCTGAATGAGTGCTCATCCAAGACTGGTGATTCCATACTTTTTGCCAGGGGTTGTACTCTAATATTTTGATAACATGGATGTAGTGTTAAATGTAAAAGTAATTTTCTGAATTTTTATTTTAAAGTGTACTGCTCGGAGCATATAGTGAGAATGTTACAGTTACCACCACAATAATATTTTGATAACATGGATGTAGTGTTAAATGTAAAAGTAATTTTCTGAATTTTTATTTTAAAGTGTACTGCTCAGAGCATATAGTGAGAATGTTACAGTTACCACCACAAAAAATTTTAGACCAATAAAGCTGTAAAATCAGCTGAATTTTATTTTAGCCATTTTTTTTCTATTTGAGAAGATAGTTTAATTAAAAATCTGTTTYAATTAATATAATTTTACAATGTTTCAATAAAATCACGTGATCATGGGTAAAATATTTCTATTTCTCTTTCAGTGGCATGCAATAAAAAATAAAAAACATATAAAAATACATGGGTGTTTCCTTGAAGTGCATCAAAAAATATAAAACCTTTGTGTGTCTTTATGAGAGCAAATTTATTTAGTTTAGTGTCAGTAAAACATCTAAACTCTTAACAGTATTTTGAAAAAAGTTTGATTTAACTTTTATCTGTTTCTCTTTGAGTTTTATTCTTGTTGACTGTACTTTAAAAAAATTACAGATTTTTTTTTGTATTTATTCAGATTATCAG